CCTCAGAGCTCCTTTCTACTCCAAAGTAGCAAGCCACTGTAGTCCCTAAGCAGGCCTGCAAACGTGGCCCCTTCCGAAGCACATAGTGCCCTACTTGTTCTGATCGGGATATATTTTTCGGTATTCAGCCCAGTCCTGCTCCTGAAGTTGACCCGATTTTTGCAAAAATGCGACGCATCAGTGCCACCCATAACTATCATTCGCCCCTTGGCCAGCAGGTATAAAATGTTTGGCGTAAATATTTTAAAATGTTCAAAGATGCCAACTTTCAAGGGACCATCCGCAAAGCGTTCGAAAAATGTGGTGACAGATAAAAGACAAGTGGAAAATGTCGATGCGCAAAAAAGGAATGGAGAAATCGATACGAAGCCCGAGTTTGTGGAGGTAACGAGTTAATAGTGTGTTATCAGTGTTGTGGGATTTTGAACGAGGGGGGCCGTATTCAGGTGCTTCTCAGATCAATAACGCTTGTCCTCGGAGAAGTTGTAAACTTTATAAAGGAAGGAACATTCTAACGGAATTGGGACAGAACCAATCAACTACGTTTTGGGGTATTTTCTAAGGATACTTTATTTTCATTACTTTCTTCTGAGCCTGTATTGCACATTTCCCACCCTCCCCCCCCCGCCTTTCACTACACTCCGTGGACAAGTTTTCCAAAGAATTTAGGCGATGAGTGGTGAACGTGGGCTATCAAACTGAAATAGGCAGGGCTTAACTTCTGTTGTAGAAAGCACAGCGGGGTCCTATTTGGCTGTGAGAGAACTTTACTGGTTGTTTTTTTCCGTTGTATGTGCACCATAATCCTCTAATCATCGAAACCGCAAAACCACTAACTGTGACAGTTGTTTGGAGGTGTTTCGCTTCCGCATGATGCAAAGATTCCAGAAAAACTGGAAAGACGGTGAATAGGACAGGAAGAGTTGTACCAGATAGCGAATTCTGGGGAGGAAGGCGTATTTTGTGAAAATTTTCCACAAGGTACTGGTTTGTCCTGGAACGTGGTCGTACTAAAGGAAGGGTTGATGATCATAGTGAAGGACGAGTATTTCACATAGCCATCACATCCCCCGGCTGTGTATCCTTTTCAGTCTTGACGTGTGACACGGGGATGTTTCCCGTCCCTGCCTAAATGAGGCGCAACTACATAATTTTTGTGAACTTGGTAGCATTTCCTTTTGAAACGGTAGTAGGACGTATTTGTACACGACCGATTAAAAGCTTGAATATGGTGACTTGATCAAGGTATTCGCATTCAGGAACACAATGAAGTAAGCGCTGTTGATCGTGAAATAAAACTGGAAGAAGCGAATGGTGTTGTGGAACACGTCGACTGCGAAGCTGCACAAGTTGATGTCGTTGGACTTCTCACTGAACCACATCCTCTTTCTCCACAGTCTCAACCACCTCCTCTTTCTCCACAAGCAGCTCCAAGTGGCGTTCCAGATCGCATCGAATTCGATCAATCGAATGAACCGCTGAAGAGTTCAGTGAGTCTTTTTGAGGCATCACATTTGGTACTTTGTTTTCGTCTCTCCCTTCCCATCTTTCACCATTTGCAACAGACGGTTTGCCTAGCTCGTGCCGTCATGTGCTCCAACCTGCAGCCTGAAAGAGCCAAGTATTTTATGCGACACCACGTCCTACGGGTACTGCCAAGATCTCTGCTGTTGTCCGTTCTTCTCTCTTTGTCGATTACTGGCTACCTCCATAACTTGCGCAGGAACTTGTGCGACCTTTCGAAAGATGTCGACCTCAGTCGCTGTTGACCCAGTCCTGCGGGGCTCGGCTTTAGCAAGGGGTACGTAGTCCACAGCAGCGGAGGTAGGGTCCAGTCAATTGGAGGCACCAACAGAAGTATTTTCCTAACTGCAGCATTTCAAGAGAAGGTGCTAAGCACCGAAATATTCGAAGGGAGAAATAAAAACAATTTTTTTTTTGCAAAATCTTAAAGATTCTTTCCGGATCGTTGGAGTCTTCTGCAGTGGAAATTTTCGGTGCCTCTTCAAATTTCCACATTAAATTAGTGTCAGTTCCAGGAACGTGATGGAGTGAAGCACATTGGATCGTGAAGTAAAAGCAGAAAGCACGATGCCTGTATTGGAACATGACAGCCATGCGATTGTACGAGGTAATGTCGTTGGCCACTCCAATAGATTGCCTCCTCTTCGTTCGCGACTCAAAGCTCCACATGACAATCAGGTCAAAACTGAACGATCGGGTGAATCGACGAAGTATTCAGTGAGTTTTTCGGCTATTCATTTTACGTAGAGCGTTTTAACGTTTTTCAAAAAGGAACCCTGTACCCTATTGTTCTTTTTCTAGCATGGTCCCTTTTCTCCCTTCCATGAATATACTCATATCCTACTGTTCTTAACGCTTCACTTCCAGATTACCACCTACCACAATAAGCAGCGCACCCCAAACACGTATTTCACGAGGTCGTCCACCTAGATTCTTCTCACAGACTGCACTACGGGAGTAAAAACGTGAAATCCAGGTGTGTTCCTACTAATAACAGCTTCCTCTAGTGATGCGTTGTGTCGATTTTTTTCATATCCCAAGGATGGTTAGTTGAGGACGAAAATCTTTACCTAGTCGGGCCTCGCATCTTATAGTGCTAACCATTACTATATCAGGAACGCCTTTTGCACGCAGGCCACGATCTTATTTCGCGACACCTGCGAGTACCACAGGCGTGACTGTGATCGACCGCGCTACACTGTTAGACCGGTTAAAAACTCTCAAATGAGATCGAATTAGCATTTACAACACTCCACCAACTATTAAGTGGAACGCCTTGATCGCATCAAGGGAATCGCTGGAGTCGCAAAGTATGAACGCAGCCTCTGTCTAATGATGTTTCACATAGCCTGTCGCCATTTACGATAGGAGTTCGAGTTCTGGCATGAGCACAGGGTTTTGCCTCTACAATTTCTGTGAAGTTTCGCATTGCAGACTGCGGTGATTAACAGCATTAATCGCAACAAAAGCAAGTTGTCCTATCAAATTTAATATATTTTGCAGAAATCGAATAATTAAACCGGTGTCCGGGGAACTGATTGGCCCTGAAAATGATGGCACTGGCGAGAAAAGAAGCAGAAGTCAATGCAACAGGTAGATTAAAGAGAAGTAATCCGTCGTGAATTTTTTGTCAGCCACGTCATATTTCCGTGATCATTGTCTTTCAGGTATGTGCTCAGTGTATCCTTATGTTTGCTCGTGAGCTTTTGAATTCGTGCGATGTGAAGATAAGTCATCTCGACTTGGATAGCTTCTCAAAAATACTGGTGCACTTATGCACTTAATCATGCCCTTTAAAATTTCGTTCATACTCCGCGATTTGGTCGCGCGATCGGACCAATCCAATCGCGAAGTATGTACGCCCCCTATCGATAGGGTGCTATT